GAAATAAAGGCCTTAAATGACACACTGGACCAGATGGACATCACAGATATATTCAGAACATTTCATCCAAAAGCAACAGAATACACACTCTTCTCTAGTGCACATGGAACATTCTCCAGAATAGATCACATCCTTGGTCCTAAATCAGGTCTCAACCGGTATCAAAAGATTGGAATCATTCCCTGCATATTTTCAGCCCACAGTACTCTGAAGCTAGAACTCAATCACAAGATGAAATTTGGAAAGAACCCAAATACATGGAGACTAAACAGCATCCTTCTAAAGAATGAATGGGTCAACCAGGAAATTAAAGAAGAATTGAAAAAATTCATGGAAACAAATGATAATGAAAACATAATGGTTCAAAATCTGTGGGACACAGCAAAGGCAGTCCTGAGAGGAAAATATATAGTGGTACAAGCCTTCCTCAAGAAACAAGAAAGGTCTCAGGTACACAACCTAACCCTACACCTAAAGGAGCTGGAGAAAGAACAAGAAAGAAAGCCTAAACCCAGCAGGAGAAGAGAAATCATAAAGATCAGAGCAGATATCAATGAAATAGAAACCAAAAAAACAATAGAACAAATCAACGAAACTAGGAGCTGGTTCTTTGAAAGAATTAATAAGATTGATAAACCCCTGGCCAGACTTTTCAAAAAGAAAATAGAAAGGACCCAAATAAATAAAATCATGAATGAAAGAGGAGAGATCACAACTAACACCAAAGAAATACAGACAATTATAAGAACATACTATAAGCAACTCTATGCCAACAAATTTGACAATCTGGAAGAAATGGATGCATTCCTAGAGACATATAAACTACCACAACTGAACCAGGAAGAAATAGAAAGCCTGAACAGACCCATAACCAGTAAGGAGATTGAAACAGTCATCAAAAATCTCCAAACAAACAAAAGCCCAGGGCCAGATGGCTTCCCGGGGGAATTCTACCAAACATTTAAAGAAGAACTAATTCCTATTCTCCTGAAACTGTTCCAAAAAATAGAAATAGAAGGAAAACTTCCAAACTCATTTTATGAGGCCAGCATCACCTTGATCCCAAAACCAGACAAGGATCCTATCAAAAAAGAGAACTACAGACCAATATCCTTGATGAACACAGATGCAAAAATTCTCACCAAAATACTAGCCAATAGGATTCAACAGTACATTAAAAGGATTATTCACCACGACCAAGTGGGATTTATTCCAGGGCTGCAAGGTTGGTTCAACATCCGCAAATCAATCAATGTGATACAACACATTAATAAAAGAAAGAACAAGAACCATATGATACTCTCCATAGATGCTGAAAAAGCATTTGACAAAGTACAGCATCCCTTCCTGATCAAAACTCTTCAAAGTGTAGGGATAGAGGGCACATACCTCAATATTATCAAAGCCATCTATGAAAAACCCACCACAAATATCATTCTCAATGGAGAAAAACTGAAAGCTTTTCCGCTAAGGTCAGGAACACGGCAGGAATGTCCGTTATCACCACTGCTATTCAACATAGTACTAGAAGTCCTAGCCTCAGCAATCAGACAACAAAAGGAAATTAAAGGCATCCAAATCGGCAAAGAAGAAGTCAAACTATCACTCTTCGCAGATGATATGATACTATATGTGGAAAACCCAAAAGACTCCACTCCGAAACTGCTAGAACTTGTACAGGAATTCAGTAAAGTGTCAGGATATAAAATCAATGCCCAGAAATCAGTTGCATTTCTCTACACCAACAACAAGACAGAAGAAAGAGAAATTAAGGAGTCCATCCCATTTACAATTGCACCCAAAACTATAAGATACCTAGGAATAAACCTAACCAAAGAGGCTAAGAATCTATACACAGAAAACTATAAAGTACTCATGAAAGAAATTGAGGAAGACACAAAGAAATGGAAAAATGTTCCATGCTCCTGGATTGGAAGAATAAATATTGTGAAAATGTCTAAGCTACCTAAAGCAATCTACACATTTAATGCAATTCCTATCAAAGTACCATCCATTTTTTTCAAAGAAATGGAACAAATAATCCTAAAATTTATATGGAACCAGAAAAGACCTCGAATAGCTAAAGGAATATTGAAAAAGAAAGCCAAAGTTGGTGGCATCACAATTCCGGACTTCAAGCTCTATTACAAAGCTGTCATCATCAAGACAGCATGGTACTGGCACAAAAACAGACACATAGATCAATGGAACAGAATAGAGAGCCCAGAAATAGACCCTCAACTCTATGGTCAACTAATCTTCGACAAAGCAGGAAAGAATGTCCAATGGAAAAAAGACAGCCTCTTCAATAAATGGTGTTGGGAAAATTGGACAGCCACATGCAGAAAAATGAAATTGGACTATTTCCTTATACCACACACGAAAATAGACTCAAAATGGATGAAGGACCTCAATGTGAGAAAGGAATCCATCCAAATCCTAGAGGAGAACACAGGCAGCAACCTCTTCGACCTCAGCCACAGCAACATCTTCCTAGGAACATCGCCAAAGGCAACGGAAGTAAGGGCAAAAATGAACTATTGGGATTTCATCAAGATCAAAAGCTTTTGCACAGCAAAGGAAACAGTTAACAAAACCAAAAGACAACTGACAGAATGGGAGAAGATATTTGTAAATGACATATCAGATAAAGGGCTAGTGTCCAAAATCTATAAAGAACTTAGCAAACTCAACACTCAAAGAACAAATAATCCAATCAAGAAATGGGCAGAAGACATGAACTGACATTTCTGCAAAGAAGACATCTAGATGGCCAACAGACACATGAAAAAGTGCTCCATATCACTCGGCATCAGTGAAATACAAATCAAAACCACAATGAGATATCACCTCACACCAGTCAGAATGGCTAAAATTAACAAGTCAGGAAAGGACAGATGCTTGCGAGGATGCGGAGAAAGGGGAACCCTCCTACACTGTTGGTGGGAATGCAAGCTGGTGCAACCACTCTGGAAAACAGCATGGAGGTTCCTCAAAATGTTGAAAATAGAACTACCCTATGACCCAGCAATTGCACTACTGGGTATTTACCCTAAAGATACAAACGTAGTGATCCGAAGGGGCACGTGCACCTGAATGTTTATAGCAGCAATGTCTACAATAGCCAAACTATGGAAAGATGTCCATCAACAGATGAATGGATAAAGAAGAAGTGGTATATATACACAATGGAATACTATGCAGCCATCAAAAGAAATGAAATCTTGCCATTTGTGACGACGTGGATGGAACTAGAGGGTATCATGCTTAGCGAAATAAGTCAATCGGAGAAAGACAACTATCTTATGATCTCCCTGATATGAGGGAGAGGAGATGCAACACGGAGGGTTAAGGGGGTAGGAGAAGAGTAAATGAAACAAGATGGAATTGGGAGGGAGACAAGCCATAAGTGACTCTTAATCTCACAAAACAAACTGAGGGTTGATGGGGGGAGGGGGGTTAGGGGGGTGGGGTTATGGACATTGGGGAGGGTATGTGCTATGGTGAGTGCTGTGAAGCGTGTAAACCTGGTGATTCACAGACCTGTACCCCTGGGGATAAAAATATATTATATGTTTATAAAAAATAAAATTTAAAAAAAAATTAATTAATTAATTAAAAAAATAAGTTTCTTGTAATCACAATATCCAAAGAAAATTTCCATTAACAATATAGATGCATATCTTCTTAAATGTTTTTCTAAACAAAACAATAAAACACTTTTTTTTAATTTAAAAAGCATTATGTACAAGTTTACATATCTTAAAATATAGGCCCATGTCATAATTTTGTGACATATCACATTCAATTTATTTATTTATTATTTATTTTTAGTATTCAATTTAAAAATGAAAATTCATCTTAAAAAATCTATTATTATGAATATTTAGACTACTTCCAGTTTTTCATTGTTGCAAACAGCCCATAGTAAACATTATTAGATAAACTTTTTAGAGCAATTGTTCAATTATAGTCTTTGGTTAAATCCAAGAAAAGAAAGTGCCCAAATCTAGCCTTGATTGTCCTTTCTTAATTCATTCAATAAATTATGTGTATGTGAGTGTGTGAACCATTCTGCATCTTATTACAATTATAACCAGAAATAAACATTCATTTAAAAATACAGATATGCGGAAGAATGAAATAATCATTAATATTAGCACTGAGGATGATCATTGTTAAAATATTTTAATATACAGGGGTGCTTGGGTGGCTCAGTGGGTTAAGCCTCTGCCTTTAGCTCAGTTCATGATCTCAGGGTCCTGGGATTGAGACCCACATTGGGCTCTCTGCTCAGCAGGGAGCCTGCTTCCCCCTCTCTCTCTGCCTGCCTCTCGGCCTACTTGTGATCTGTCAAGTAAATAAATAAAATCATAAAAAAAATCTTTTAAAAAATATTTTAATATACAGATGTACACACATGGGTGTGTGCATGTATACTGGTGTTTTTATGTTTTACTTAGAATTACCATTTTTCTTTTTAATTCTAAATTAAAATTTTCATATACTTAGAATAGAAATCACAAGCCACTTAGTTTTAGTGACCTAAGTAGTTTCCAAATATAGACAAAAACAGGTTAGGGAATTTTAGGAAGCCACTCTTATTACAAAACTAAGAATATTTGCTGTTGAGATAATAGATAATTGTTTATTCTGGAATTAATATTTATTTTCCTGATCCTTTCTCTTCAGTTAACCATGCCCTTTAAATCACCTATATTAGTGCTAAAAACAAAACAAAACAAACAACAAAAAAAACCAATACTGGCACTTTGTGTTGTGTTTTATTTTGTTTTCTCTTACAGCAACAGTCTCTAACAACTTTGGCCTGGAAGAAGGACATTGCCAAATAAATCATCAGAAACTGACCTAAACCATGAAGGGAAAGATAATTTCACCCTCATCTCTGTTGTTACTGCTGAGGGTTCAAAATATGAAATAATAAATCATCTGCACTTGAATCACCTAAATTATGTCTGATGTTTTCTCTGTATTTTCAGTCTCAATTTCCACCCTATCTACTGCAAGTTGAATCCAGAAGAGGCTCTGAATCAGGTGAAAGCAGCTTAAGACCTCATCTCATGATGCCAAGAGGGGCTGCTAGTTCAGTCTCATGACCCAAAGATAGATTGTCCCATCTTCCCTTATGCTCCTTAGGTTGATCTGAATCTTCTTCCCTTGGTCCAGCCTCCCTCCTTCTCTTCAGAGCTCCTAGCTTTTGGCTAGCCTGTGACTTGCTGCAGTGGTCTTTACTCAATCTCCTCTTGTTACTGCTTCTCCTCTTTGAAAACTGTATATCCACTTTAGCCTCTTGAGACACCTGTTTACCAAGAGTATATTTATCATGGAGGTAAGGAAGCAAAAGCATCAGGGCCACTTACTTGAACAGAGTTCTTTTCAAAGTGAGGACCTTAAATTTTATATTCTTTTTCTTAGAGAGCATTCATCAAGTTTTATATAGTTTGGGACCTACAGAACCTGGATCTTCCTCTTGACCAGCAACCTTGGCAGTGGTATGCTGGAGCCAGTTCATACCAGCTGGCAAGAAATTTTGCTCTCATTAAAAAAAATAGACAAGTTTTGGTGAAGGTGTGGAGAAATTGGAACTGTTGCACACTGTTTTTGGGAATGCAAAATGGTAAAGCTGTTATAGAAAAATTATGATAGTTCCTCAAAAAATCAGAACTCATAAAACTACCATATGTTCCAGCAAAGATAGAGTAGAAATGTCTTGCAGGAAAATTATTTTTCTTTTGGATTTGAAAAGGAGATGGATGTGCAGCTAGGAGGGTGCTGCTGATATAAAATGTTTTGTCTCCTGGAGAAAACTTCTCTGTTACTCATAATTTCATACAAACTTTGTGAAGGGCCAGTGAAAATTTGGAAATCATGCAATTGTGTAATACTTTGAGGCTATCTATTCCTATTTAGGAAATGCAAGCCTTAGTAATTCTGTATCAGTCAAAATACGTGCTGTTATGCTGATACACCGACGTATAAACTCTTCATTTAGTAATAGTGTAAATTCTCAGAAATCAAAATGTAACACCATTTCCTCATGGCTTAGAGTCAATTGCAGGCAGGTTTTGATACCTGACATTTTTCTGTAATTACTCTGGAAAAATAAAAAATTTAACTACAGTGTTAAATTCTATGATGATTTATGTCATCATGTGCAGGTACAGTATTTTTTCTGGGCGGCAGGGTCTGTCTTCTGTTTGATGACTAGCCCTCCAGGCTTCTTCAGTCTTGCAGCTCTGTATTCCCAATACATGATTCCATAATTGCCATCAAAACTGAAGGAAAGGTGGAAAACACATACCTGTCCACTAACTGGCAGTAATAACAAATAATTCACTCTCATGGCACATTGGCTCAATTGAGTCATACAACCCTAACTTCAAAGGAGGCTGGGAAACATCAGGAGAACTTGTGGAATATTTGGTGAGATACTGTCCCTACCACATATAAGATGGAAAAAACAAAACAAAACAAAAACTAAGGTTATCACATCTGTGACTCAACATAAGCCTGCCATAGTTTCCATAATGGAAGACCTTCTAAAGCACTCTATGACAAGGCTGTGGTCATTGATTTGGTTAAGCCTTCCCTCTTCTCCCCTCACTTACAGGTCCTTACAGAATCAGTTTGCTAGTTTCTGAGTTGGATGCTAAACAAATTTCTGAGGTACACTGACATTTGAAAAGTGCCATTGCTGCATTGACACGGCCTATAGCCATTTCTAAAAGTTGGACACCCTGGGCGCACATAAATACATGCATAATTTGAGTGTCATGAGTGATAGCCACAAGAATGTTCCTTGAAATTTTCCTATTACAAGCATCATGAGTGATAAAAGTTCTGAGCTGTTGCACATTTTTATTGAGGCCACCTTGCCCATGATTGTAACCAATGGTAGAATCTTGATAGAGATACAAAGAAAGGCAATCCTGTATGACTCAGGACCCCTCTGACAGTTGCCTCTACCTTAAGACCTCCCCAACAGTCCTGCTGAAACTTTCCTACATTGAATAGACCCTCCTTAAACTGTGTGAATCCTAGACTGCTGCTATTCAATTTTCTCTCCCTCTCCCCTTCCCTTGGAGTTTGACTGACTGCACTCTCAGCCAGCTTTCTCAGCCTTTTCATCTTTATCCCCATTTTTCACAGTGGCTTTCCTCCTAATAAAATCAATGCACGTTAGTCCTCTCCTGGCATCTGCTTCTCAGAAGATCCAGATTAAAACAAGTAATACTGAAAGTGTTATAAGTAAATTGGTTGTAAGATGTGGATTTGCTTTGGAAGCAAGGAGAACAGGATGCTTGTCAGGAAAAAGGGTGCAGACAATCCCTACCACAAGGTAGCAGTACAATTCTAAACATTTTGTAGGAAGAAGGAAAACTTGCCCACTAGAGGAGAATGTGGTGGTAGAGATGCAATCAAACAGGAATTAAAGTCAGTGGAGTTAGCTGATTACTGCTGAGTTTTGTTGATGCCCTGTAGAAGGATGATAAGAGATCAAGGGCTGTTGCCAAGCAGTTACTGCCTATGCCTGCGAGCCATAGAGTCTCAGTGGTACTTAAAAGAGGCCTTTATCAGCCACTGTTGCATGTCAGACAAAGGTGAATGGCAGGCAGAGAATCTATTCGTTACACTTGCAAGTTCCAGAGACATCTAAATATTTAGCAAAAGGAGCTCTGTTAGGCTAAGGTCAGGGCACTGTGGGAAAAACCTAAGACCCTGAAAACAGGAAGGAGGAGTTCTCGATGTATGACACTGAAGATGCTAATTCTCTTACACCCACCTCCTCTGCTCAGTGATTGGAAGCCACTGTGCTTGAAAAAGCTACAGTTTCCTCCCCACAAGGCGATAGGTGCCTCTACCCCTATCTGTAGGCGTTTCCCATCTCTTCTTCTGACTCCCAGGCCAATAATTAGGATGAAATCCTATCTTAACACAGATGGTGATGTGCTGGCCAGGGGGTAGTGCTTAACTGCCAGAATCCAAGAGGCCATAATTACCATTGTGATCAGTATGGGTGGAGGAGCAGCCAAGGGGACTTGACCCACAGGTAGTTTTGCAGACAGTAAATAGAGAACTGAGGCTTTTTAGAGGCAAAATAGATTGCCAGCCAACTAGGGAGTTGCTTACATCAATAATAAAGAGAAAGAAAGAATAGCAGGAGACCAAGGATTGTCTCCCCAGTAAAAAAATCACAATCCCTGAAGATGGCAGAGGAGTAGCAGACCCTATTTCAACCAGTCCACTGAATTGAGCTATATATCTGCCAGACTACTCTGAACACCCATGAAATCAGCCTGAGATGTAAGAAGATATATCAGGATCTATACCAACAGAATATCCCCAGCAGCCAGTTTCAAGGTATGAAGTGGGGATCTGCGATTCTGCTGGAAGATATCGAAAATAAATGGAAGGGGGAGGGAGCCACCATAAGTGCTGTCACCGGGAAGGTGAAATTACACAGGAGTGCAAATATGTCCCATGCTGGGGCCTGGGCACAGACTCATAGACTGGTAGCCACGGGGAAGGGACTTTAGGGCAGCCTTCCAGGGTGAAACGTGGAGCTGCAGGGGTGCATGTGTGAACTGAGGGTGGCTGGCAGTTTTAGAAGCACAAGGGGCAGAGACGTGCCTGGACCTGAAAGCAAGGGCTGGGAGTGCTGCTGTGGGGTGCACAACCCAGGCCACTGCAGTTTTTGGCAGCACAGACAAAAATAGAGTCAATTTCACCTGGAGGGGCTTCTGGAGAACAATCTGTGAGCTTTCTGTTCTGAGACAGAAGTTTGGACACAGTCACTTCTGCTCTGACTCTTGGAAGGGACACAGAAACCCACCAGGGAAAGCTGTCAGCGAACAAAAGCCCCCCAAAACCAGTTTATACTGAGCCTATCCCTCACCACAAGGGCAAGGCAACTCTGCCCAAACAGGGTTGCCTGAGTAACAGCTTGGCAGGCCCCTCCCCCCAGAAGATAGGCTGAAAGAACAAGAGGCCAAGAACTATAAAGTCCCTATAAAACAGGTGCATCTTGCTTGGATTGTGGTCTGTAGCTTGGACTCTGTACATTCCCTCAACCACCTCTCACCAGAATGACTAGGAGGAGGAACCCCCAACAGAAGGAAAATTCGGAGACTGTGACAGAACTATTGGATATGGACATAAGCAAGATGTCAGAAATAGAATTTAGGATAACGTTATCCAGACAATGGCTAGGTTGGAGAAAACCGTTAGTGGCAACATAGGATCTCTAAGGGCAGAAGTGAGAGTGGATCTGGCAGAACTTAAAAATGCTATCAACAAGATCCAATCTAATCTAAATACAGTAGGGTAAATGGGACAGAAGATAGAATAAGTGATCTAGAAGACAAACTGATAGAAAAGAAGGATCAGGAGGAGGCCTGGAACAAACAACTTAGAATGCATGAAAACAGAATTAGGGAAATAAATGATGCCATGAAACATTCCAATGATCCCTGAGGGGGTGGAGAGAGAGAGAGAGAGGACTAGAAGATACAGTTGGAAAAATCCTAGATGAGAATTTCCCTAATCTGGGGAATGGAACAAGTGTTCGTGTCCTAGAGGCAGAGAGGACACCCCTCAAGATCAATGAGAGTACAAAGACCACCAGACATGTGATTGTGAAATTCATGAATCCGTAAATTCAGAGAAAATGTCTTAAAGGCAGCTAGGGGAAGAGATTCCTTACATACAGAGGGAGGAACATCAGAATAATGTCAGATCTGTCCACAGAAACCTGGCAAGCCAGAAAGGGCTGGCAAGACATATTCAGGGCACTAAATGAGAAGAACATGCAGCCAAGAATACTTTATCTGGCAAGGCTGACATTCAGAATGGATGGAAGGATAAAGAGCTTCCAAGACCAGCAAAGACTAAAAGATTATGTGACTACCAAGCCAGCACTACAGGAAATATTAAGGGGGTACTATAAAAGAAGAAAGATCCCAAGAGTGATATAGAACAGAAATTTACAGAGACATTCTATAGAAACAAGGACTTCACAGTCAACATGATGACAATAAAATCATATCTTTCAATAATTACTCTGAACATGAATGGCCTAACTGCTCCCATAAAATGACACAGGGTTGCAGTTTGGATAAAAAGACAGGACCCAACCATATGTGGTCTACAAGAGACACATGTTGAACCTAAAGATACATCCAGACTGAAAGTGAAGGAATGGAGAACCCTCTTCCATGGCAATGGGACTCAAAAGAAAGCTGAGGTAGAGATTCTCATATCAGACAAATTAGATTTTAAGCTAAAGATTGTAGTCAGAGATACAGAAGGACACTACATCATTCTTAAAGGGTCTATCCAACAGAGGACCTAACAATTGTAAATATGCCCCCAACATGAGAGCAGCCAACTACATAAGCCAATGTTAATCAAAGTAAAAAGACATGGTGATAAGAATACGTTCATCGTAGGGGATCTTAATATGCCACTCTCAGCAAAAGACAGATCATCTAAGCAGAAAATCAACAAAGAAACAAGAGCTTTGAATGACACACTGGACCAGATGGATCTCATAGATATACACAGAACAT